GGAAAAAAGAGGCAGAGGAGCGCTTTGGTGTTTGAGTATATGTAATATGCTTTCGTCAAGCAGGTAACCTGACAACTGGAGCCCTTGTTTAAACGATCAATTACGTACGTGGCAAAGAAGGATTCAGATTTGGAAGATGAATTGATTAGATTTGGGAAAGCGCACGAGTTTGGTGATGTGACGTGGTATCCATCTCAAAAGCAGGCTGTGTACAGAAGGGACGATCGAGTTTCAATGGATCAGTCTGGAAATGGTCTCTCTGATTTCATCCCATTCCGTTCCCCCCTCTACGCGGTGGCAGCCACTAACAGACCCGCAGGTTAATCGTCTTCCTCTTCATTTCCTTACACGTTTAGCTGCTACATTAGCTGACAGATGAAAAACTACTGAAAGATACCCTAGTTTAGGATTCTTTTATTTCTTTCTTTCTTCCTTGATGTATACATATCATTGCCAAATAGGCCAACAATTACAACTTCAGCATTCGAAATTGATATCAAACACATAGATGTGCCCTTTTTTCAAGAAATTAAGACTAGGGAGAACTTGAATTAGGAGCTTCAAGAAGCAACACAGGCTGGTCACTGGGACGCTGAAGACATCTGCTTATGGTCTGACCAACAACAGTACTCCTTCTTTCTCTCGTTTTCCCCCTTGTGCATTTTGACAAACACTTTATGAACATTTTTGTTACATATTATAACCTGTTCGTTTCTATTTATTCACAAAGTAGGTATAATATTTACTGGATACCCCGTCATTGGACAGAACAATAGCATGCAGTCATCGGGGACGTGCCCGGAAGGTGAAGAAGACGCATTGCTCACCATATGCCTTTGGGATTCTAGCTTCAACTTCAGTTCTTTCACCAGACAGCCTTCAGCATCTCCTTGTCTAACGTTACAAGCTTCATCGAAGATGTGAAGAAGCTAATTGAGTTGGAGCCGCAAGCACTGTGTGGATTAGAGCTGAAAGATGGCATCCTCATGCGTTACGTCAAAGCTTCAAGTGTTTACTTGGGAAAAACAGAAGATGTTGTGGATTTCGATATCACCTACTACAGAAGCAAAGACCCATTAATTCCCAGGCTCTTCGGGGACATTCTTGAGGAGATTGAACAGATAGGGTTGTTCAAATATGGAGGGTTACCTCACTGGGGAAAGAACAGGAATTTAGCATTCAGTCAAGTGATCAAGAAGTACCCAAATGCAGATAATTTTTTAAGCGTGAAAAGTAAGTATGATCCGCAAGAAATCTTCTCTAATGAGTGGACAGATCAGGTTCTGGGGCTAAAAGGAGGTGTGACGATATTAAAAGACGGGTGTGCTCTTGAAGGTTTGTGCATATGATCAGTAGATCGTCACTGTGGTGTACTCTTGAAGGTTTGTGCATATGCTCAGAAAATCGTCATTGTGCACCAAGCAAGAAGTACTACTGCAGGCCCGAGAAGGTTTATAAAGAGGCTAGGGTCTGTGCTTTCTAAGGTTGAGACTTACCTGAAGAAAAAGTTTGTAATGGAAGAATAGTTGAAATCACACTAAGAAAAAAAACTAAATTAATGATGAAATCTACAAATTCTGTAGGAAAAAAAGAAGATATTACTAATTAATTAGTGATAAAATTTTGTCGCTGACTTGATTCAATGACGGAATTTTGCTACTAAATTAGGGTTGAAGGGACTTTCACATATAGTGTGGTATTTTATATTTGATGTGTTTTTTTTATTATCTTTTGTCGTGGAATAATGCAATATTGTCATTTCTAGTCATTGATATTAATTTAATAAAAGAACGATACATGTGATTGTATGTAAACTGTAATGTGACATGGTATTTATGGTTGGATGCTATTTTCTTAAATTTAGTTCCTAAAACTTGCAGTCAAAAAATAAAAAGCAAGTAAAATACACTCTTTATAATTAAATTTACTAATTCAAGATTTAAACAAATACTGCAAATTTTCCAAGGACTTGAAAAATGACAACTTGTGCGATCAGTTTATATTATGAACCCACATACTATTGTGTCCTCCCCCCCCCCCCCCCACATGAGACACTTTGTGATTATAATTTTTATGGATTATTCCAGAGATATCATAGAATTGTGCTTGAAGGTTTTCTATATGTTACCAAATAGTCAGAAGATGGAAGAATGATAACATCATTATTTCACGATAACACGAAGTGTTGGGTGATTAAAATCCATCAATACATATGTAATGAAAACCAGATTCCATGTACGTTTGCCACTGAATCCGAATGTCATGGTGGATGGCCCAACAACCAAATGACAACGAAGCCCAATATATTCTAACTATACAAACCCACTATCTCTCAGCACAAGTCATGTCCATGTTTTGTACAAAAAGACAAAGTCAAGTCCATGATGGATTTTTCTTCGCACAAAAAGCTTATTATGGCAAAACATAATACAAGAGTCGCACATTTTTTTCACCATACAAAAGGGTTGGGTCCTACCGAAAAAGCTATTCCCTTACATGAAGCAACATTCAAAGCCTCACTAAAAGAAAAGTACACAGGCAACCAAATTAAAAACAGAGAAAAAATTATATGCACATGCAAATTTTTTTTTTTGTTTTATAAAAACTCACTGAAATTGAAAAAGACAAACATGTGATCCAAATAAATGAATTGACCAAATGAGCATAAGGTATGAATTTGGGATTTACAAATTTTGGTAGAATGACTAATACGACCTTGGAGAAAGAAAAAGAAAAGGCAATTGAATTTTTTCACATACTAACACGTTGATTAAAATAGGTTGCAAAATTTATTACGTAAATAGTCACTTTCATGTCACAAGTTGTTATTCTTGTTACATATTTAGTATAATTGTGTGTGCAAAAGCATTAAAAATAGTTACAAATAAACAAATTGCAAATTCCCTAATACAAATGACAACTTTCATTATGCAAGTTCTAATTCATTTTACTTGTTTTGTAAAACTGTCTGCAAATAGTTTATAACAAATCATAAAACTCTTTATGCAAATGGTCACTTTTATTTTACTAGTTGTTATTCTCATTATATCTTTAGTAAAATTGTGTGCAAATAGATTTAGAAATGGTTGCAAATAAAGAGATTATGAAACACATTATGGAAATTAGTATATTCTTTTTGAAAGTTCTCAAGCACTTTGCAAATGCTGTTAAAAGCTACCATCATTATAATAATACCCAAAGGCAAACATAATTTGCACTTGTTAATTATCAATAAATGTGCAATAATAATGATTAAATATGTTTTTGTAAACAAATTCTATCTACAATCATAACTCAAATATTATAACAATAGTTAGATAATGCATTTGTGTGTACAACACTATTTTAAAACTTCTTTCCCAATCCAAGAAAATGCTTTTCGAAACAATATGTATCTACTCTTCACTTTTTTGTTTGGCTCTCTTTCTAATACCATTTTTCCCTCCTGCAAAAAATCACTTTATAGTCATCCACTATACTATATTTTATTCACATAATGTAATCACTGTCAAAAGAAGCATATTCAATTCTATTATGAAGTGTAGTAAATCCTACAACTCACTTAACTTAATTTGTTTCACAATAGTGTAGTCATTACTATGACAAATCTAATCAGTTCTATTAATAAATGAATTCAATTTCAATAAAAAGTTAATCTCCCTGGCTTTACTAAAAAGTTGTTATCATTGATACAAATATAATCATTCACATCTTAATTATTGTCATTTCACCACAAACCAACCAGGGTTATTTACTACTCAAGTATCAAAATTTACTACTTAGGTAAGGAAATTTATTACTCTTTCCTAATTTAACGTAATAGAGCAAAAAATGAAAACTAACAAAATAGAAAACTTTTAGAACAAACTTCATTAGAAGATAGTAGAAAGTTAATCAATATACTCTCAAACCTTGCATAAAGATACCCTGATTCTGTGGGTGCTTCTTCTTCCTCTCTCTCTTTCCTGTTTTTTCTTTGCTTCTTCTCTAAACATTATTTATCTCTCTCTCATCTCTCTCTCTCTTTCTCATAGTGTTGGTGATGAGATTGAGAAGGGAAGACAAAAGATAGGAGATACCAAGTCTCAAACCCTAAGCATCAAAGATGGGAGGTACCAAGTCTCAAACCCCAAGCATCATGAAATATTTATTAGAAACATACCAGAACATTGTAGGAGACACCACATTTTCTTCTTCTTTTTCACCGAACCCTTTGACAATTCATGTCTAACCTTTTAGTTCGGCCACCCTTTGAAGAAGAAGAGGACCTAAAGAGAGAAGGAAGAGCTCTCTGAACACAAAGTGAGAGACAAGACAAAAAAAGATGAAAGAAAGGGCATTGAGGTAATTTGATAAAATTTGTAAATCTCAATTTAATACCTAAAGACCTATTTGTCCTTTGTGAAATTAGAATAACTAATCTAAAATTTTAGAATTCAAATGGTATTTATATGGGATTTTTCATGTTTTTATCTCATTTCTTTTGCCCATAATTATTTTTTAAAAAATTAAATCATAAAGATCTTTGAATGAATAATAAAATAAAATAGAATAAATAAAAATATCTTTATTTAGACAGGATAGATCCAAAAGGAGCCCATGTTTTCAATATTATAATTTTAAAAAAAAAATTTTTGCTCAAATTATAAATTGTGTAGTTTGTTACGCTACTGTTTCTAGCTAGTTTTGCTTCTGGATGCTCGGATAATTAATTAGACATAAAAAAACTTTCCTAGCCAGTCGACGCGTATCCGAGCTGGCTTTGATTATTGGCATATCTAATTAATACACAGAGATACCTAACTGGCGTATATATATGGACCACTAAATTGATATCGGTTACGATTCAGATTTCTATATAACTAACAATAATTAAACATGTATTACATATAATCTTATTGTGAAGTACCTTGATCTTAGCCATATGATGCTGAGTGATAAGGTATATTATTATATCGTCATAGCAAGGCTGCGTAGTATATATGTATCTAGGAAGTCAAATTTCATCGCCCTGTCATTTCTGCAACCATGAAAATGCTCAAATCATCACTTCTCATCATCTTCTTCATAGCTTTCAGGAATGGGGTTCTTTCTTCTCCTCCAGATGACCCCGTCAAGTGTACTTCCACCGACACAAACTGCACCGTCACAAACTCCTACGGCATCTTCCCCGATCGGAGCACTTGCCGAGCATCCCAAGTACTGTATCCGACCACCGAGCGGGAGCTTATTTCCATGGTGGCTTCGGCATCAAAGTCCAACACAAAAGTAAGAGCAGCCACCAGGTACTCCCACAGCGTCCCCAAGCTTGCTTGCCCCGGAGGCGAGAACGGGATCATAATAAGCACCAACAAGCTCAACCATGTAGTGAATGTTGATGTGGAGAACAGAAGGATGACCGTAGAGAGTGGGGTGCTTCTGAGAGACCTGATCCATGAAGCGGCGGAGAGTGGGTTGGCTTTGCCGCATACGCCGTACTGGTGGGGAATAACGGTGGGGGGATTGTTGGCAACGGGGGCTCACGGCAGCTCGCTGTGGGGAAAGGGAAGTGCCGTTCATGAGTATGTGGTGTCGATGAGGATTGTGACGCCAGCGACGGCGGAAGAAGGGTATGCGAAGGTGAGGAGCCTGAGTGAGTCAGATGAAGAACTTGATGCGGCCAAGGTTTCGCTTGGAGTTCTTGGGATTGTTTCTCAGGTGCGTCTTTGTCTCCGTCGCGATGATGATGATGAGAAGTTCCTATGTTTTTTTTTTAAATATGCTGTCTGTCAATCGGTAACCAAATGTATTTTATAACATAACAAATTGAAATATTATTACACCGATAAATAGGAATTGAACAATAAAAGAATAGCCTGCGTTTAGTCGCTTCTGATTTAGTGTAATATATTGATTGAAGGATCAAGTTCAATACATGTTTAGTTGAAAAATATGAATAACTTCTCTTACACATCATGTAAAATTAAATGGTGCTATAATGCCTGTTTTCACCTATAATGTTTCTTCCTGTGCATCTATTTTAGTTTTACCTAAAACATAAGAAAACGAAAAGGGCTTTGGGCCCCTCGAACATGATCAAAAATCAAAAGCCGGAGAAGCTTTGACTTTAGGTAATATGTTTTTAAAGTGCAGGTGACCCTACAATTAGAACCCATGTTTAAACGAGCAATTACGTACGTGACGAAGGATGATTCAGATTTGGGAGAGGAATTGATTAGGTTTGGGAAAGAGCTCGAGTTTGGTGATGTGACGTGGTATCCATCTCAGAAGAAGGTGCGTTACAGAGTTGATGATCGAGTTTCCATGGATCAGTCTGGAAATGGTCTCTATGATTTCATCCCATTTCGTTCCACTCTCTCTGCTGTATTAGCTGCCAACAGAGCCACAGGTTAATCGTCTCCCCTCTCCATTTCCTTACACATTTAGCTGATAGAAGAAAAACTGAAAGATACCCAAGTTTAGGACCAACTTATATTATTGATCTTAATATTTAAATTAATGAGGGTTATCTTTCATTGTTTAGAGATCTATTTAAATCATCATCTAAACACTTAGGATTCTTTCATTTTTATGATTATTTCTTATTTAAACAGTTAAATAATCACAAATTCGGCATTCAAAATTAATATATAGAACACATAGATGTGCCCTTTTTTCAAGAAACAAACTAAGGAGAAGTTGAATTTTCTGTAACAGAGGAGCTTCAGGAAGCAACACGGGACGCTAATGGGAAATGCATCAGTGCACAGTTGGTCACTGGGACGCTGAAGACATCTGCTTATGGTTTGACTAACAACGGTATTCGTTCTTTTCCTCGTTTTGCGCCGCCGCTGCATTTTTGACAAATACCTTAAGAACGCTATTTTCCTTCGCCCAGAATTGATTTAAACAACATTAATATATGCATATTACAGCTTGTTTGTTTCTCTTTATTCATAAATAGGTATACTTTTTACTGGGTACCCCGTGATTGGACAGAACAATCGCATGCAGTCATCGGGGACGTGCCTGGAAAGTAACGACGACGCATTGCTCACCATATGCCCTTGGGATTCTAGGCTCCAACTTCAGTTCATTCACCAGACAGCCTTCAGCATCTCCTTATCTAACATTACAAGCTTCATCGAAGATGTGAAGAAGCTAGTTGGATTGCAGCCACAAGCACTGTGTGTATTAGAGCTGAACGATGGCATCCTCATGCGTTACGTCAAAGCTTCAAGTGCTTACTTGGGAAAAACAGAAGATGTTGTGGATTTCGATATCACCTACTACAGAAGCAAAGACCCATTGACTCCTAGGCTGTTCGAGGACATTGTTGAGGAGATTGAACAGATAGGGCTGCTCAAGTATGGAGGGTTACCTCACTGGGGAAAGAACAGGAATTTAGCATTCAGTCAAGTGATCAATAAGTATCCAAATGCAGATAAGTTTTTAAGTGTGAAAAGTAAGTATGACCCACAAGGAATTTTCTCTAATGAGTGGACCGATCAGGTTCTAGGGTTAAAAGGAGCTGTGACGATACTAAAAGATGGGTGTGCTCTTGAAGGTTTGTGTATTTGCTCAGAAGATCGTCACTGCTCACCTAGCAAGAAGTATTTCTGTAGGCCTGGGAAGGTTTATAAAGAAGCTAGGGTTTGTGCTTTCGAAAGCTAAGACGGATATTTGAAGGAAAAGCTTCAATAAAGGGATGCTTCGAGTTCAAATCATATATATAAGACTCCTTTACAGTGATGTTTCAAATTTGAGATGGTGCTGCCCTGTTGCAGATCAAACACAATTCATTTCTGTTGTGTGATTTTAATTTAATAGAAGTATGTGTGATATCCTGGGTAATTTGTAGTGTAACAAATTTAAGAATAATTAATCATGCTTAAATACTTTTTTAGCCTCCAGGTATATATATATATATATATATATATGACTTTCAAGTTTTTTTTTACACAAAAAGCCCATTTTATTGATATTTCACAAAAGGTATTCCATCAATGGCAAAATTGCAATGTGATTGATCACATAATTAAACATAAAATACTCCTCATGAAAATACCAAGTTGAGTCAAGATCACATAATTTCAATATAAATTAAACAGAAGGATGACATTTTTTAAGTGAGATGAATGACACACACAAAATAAAACCAATTTTTGAAAAAAAAAAAAAGGGACAAAATAGTCAAAAGTTTCATGAATTAGGATAAAATTGGCACTATGTTGGTTTTCTTGTCCAAGGGAAGAAGGCGTGTTTAATCTCCGTTGCATTATAAAATAACCAGTCTTTTCATAACCAAAATTATGTGTACCAGGCATATCAAGTTAAGGGATTCTTCCTTCTTTTTTTTAAAAAAAAACTATTTTCATCCATATCAAATATGGTCTTATCGAATACAGCGCAGCTTAAAGATATCAAACTCCTTCAAGTCGATCTTGTTCTATCCAATTACATACTGAGTACATTAATTATATACAATAAAAGACGTTCTAAACTTAAATATCTTAAAAATTTGAAACGAATTGTAATGAAAATGGTAAAGCTTATCCCTTATGGAAGTCCTAAAAATTAATAACTAAATGTATTATGCAGGGTAAATAACAAAATCTAAAGCTGATTTTGTTTTTTTAGAAAGAAATAACAAATCAAAAGCAACGTACAAGTAAATAATTTTGTTTTTTCACGGTTAATGTTGATAATTATGAACGATTTGAAAATTTTGATTGTTAATGTACATTCTTAGACTTAGTTCTCTACGGAATTTGTTGATTTGATCCAGTCATCTAATTAAGTTACATTCTTAGACTTAGTTCTCTACGGAATTTGTTGATTTGATCCAGTCATCTAACTTGTGTGGAAGAACTGGAAATAGAAAGATATTTAGCATCCTCTCCATACTCTCTTTTTCACACTCAATTTCACCCGTCTATTTGATTTAACAGTGTAAGATTATTTATTATGGCATTAAGCTTAATATACACTATTAATTAACTGACTAACGTAAATAAGCACTATGAATTATGATCCTGTGCTAAAAAGTATTTGAGTGATGATAATAAATATATGGCCATTAAATCAAGTCAATAGTTAATTGAATAGGATGTATGCACATATAGGAGCCAGATTAATACTTAGTATAGATGACTTGTCAGAATGTTCTTATGCATATCTGATGAAATATAAAAGCGAAATCATACAAAATAAAAATAAAATGTACCCAAATTGCCAAGTTGAGCAATAATTTGTGCAGAAAAAGTTTTCGTACGAGTATCGATGACTTCTCAGAATATTCTCATGTATATCTGGTGAAATATAAAAGTGTAATCGTGCAAAATTAAAACTGCATTCAAATCGTCAAGTTGAACTGTTATTTTCCCCAAAAAAGGAGAAAACAAATGTTTTCGTAGTGATATAATGTAATAGCCGGCGGCCGAGGGCGGCTGAATATAGAGTTGACCATTAAAAGTACCTTGTTGCCTGCTCGTGTCTTTTTTATTTGTTGGAAATTTATTTTGACTAAGAAACTAGAATTAGTGCTAAATTGTATTCTTAATAATAAGTCGTACGAGATTTCTGAAGAGTGATGCAATCTGAAAGATCAGAGTGTAAAAATCAGAATAAAAAGCAATGCTTAGCCTAGACGCCAATGGAAAACACGACGATTTAAATTAAAACATTTTGAATAATAATGGAACACCAGAGCACGATGAGGATTACTCTGATCACTTCGATTAAATATATTTGTTTTTGCACGTTCTCACCCAAGGGCAGAGAGAAAGCAATAATGCTTTTTCTGGATTTGATGCTACGGGGGAGATCCCGTCATCTAGATCAGCTCAGTTCAGGAGTTTAATTACTAATAGATTCTTTGAGGGACAAAATGTCACATGATTATGCTTTCTTTGGGCTATAAGCCTCATCATTTACCCAAAAAATGACATAATTATGCTATGATCGATGCATCAATTGAAATAGTGACCGACATAAATACTCTGCTTCACTACAATGTTTTATATAGAAATGACATAAGTAAAGTTCATCTATGTCGGTTTAAAGAGTGACTTGCTGGTGGTCGCTGGGGGAAAAAGAGGGGGGGGGTACTTGCCGTCGCCGGTGGACGAGTAATTTATTAATTTAATATTATGCACTCTTAATCATGTGACGAGGCTGCTAGTTGAAAATAAGGATGCCAATAGTTGTTATATCAAGATTCTTCGATAGGTTCAACTAGTAATTGCTATCTATTTTTTCACCCTTTACTATTAAATCATACTTTTCCGATCTTTCAACGTAGTCATCAATCAAATTGGTCTGGTGTGATTCGACAAGTCAGATCGGATTCGCTGTAGGGAAGGGTGGATTACTGGAGGATTGGAGCAAATTAAATTTACCAACTTCGGCTAAAAGTTGGTGCAAATTTTGGACCCAGACAAGAGAAAAAAACTCCAATTAACCCTTGTACTGACTTCTTGAAAACAACTTTATTCCTTGCGCTTGTGTGTGTGTGTGTGTGTGTGAGAGAGAGAGAGAGAGAGAGAGATGTTATTTACATAATAATTTCATCATAAGACCTAATAAAAACCCTTTGAATTAAAATACTTCACTGTAAATTTCTTGATCTTGAAGAGAAAACAATATACAATATTGGTGGTTGGGATGGATTTTCCTTTTCCATCTGCTTTATTAGACTTGTTCTTCTATATAAATATATGTTCCTTTATGCTCTGCTCTCGCTTAATAAGACCAATAAAACTCTGCTAATCGACGTGCGTCGTCCGATCGCGCTGGCTTCGATACTTCATATCTTCCGCGCGCACACATGCGTAATATTAAATTCACACTGGTTGTAGCTTATGGATGGCTAACAGTAATTAAACATGCACTAATCTTCATTGTTAAGTGCGATCGATCTTAGCGATATTAAGGCCACGAGAGTTAAAATATTATATAAGTATTGTCGTGTGTCATTAAGATTTATGATGCGTGATTTAGCTATAACGATCAGGCCAAACTAGTCAAATGTTTGAAGTCCAATTTCACCACCCTCTCATTTCTCTCGTGTGCGAAAAATCCCATCTCGATCTGAAATCTCTCTCTCTCTATATAAGCAGACACATCGCAGGGCGCATTACAATACGGGATAGAGTTTTTACCCAAAAGTAGGCCAAGCTTCAACCATGAAAATACTCAAATCCACTCTCATAATCTTCCTCATAGTTTTCGTGAATGGGGTTCTTTCTTCTCCTCCAGATGACCCCGTCCAATGCACTTCCGGCAACAAAGACTGCACCGTCACAAACTCCTATGGCGTCTTTCCTGACCGGAGCACTTGCCGAGCATCCCAAGTAATGTACCCAACCACCGAGCAAGAGCTTACTTCCATGGTGGCTTCGGCATCGAAATCCAACACAAAAGTGAAAGCAGCCACCAGATATTCCCATAGCATCCCCAAGCTTGCTTGTCCTGGAGGCCAAGACGGGATCATAATAAGCACCAACAAGCTCAACCGTGTAGTGAAGGTGGATGCGGAAAGCAGAAGAATGACGGTAGAGAGTGGCGTGCTTCTAAGAGAAGTGATCAGTGAAGCGGCGAAGAATGGGCTGACGTTGCCGTACACTCCGTACTGGTGGGGAATAACGATGGGAGGATTGTTGGCGACGGGGGCTCACGGCAGCTCGCTGTGGAAAAAAGGAAGTGCGATTCATGAATATGTGGTGTCCATGAGGATTGTGACGCCGGCGGCGGCTGAAGAAGGGTATGCGAAGGTGAGGAGCCTAACCGAGTCGGATGAAGAACTTGATGCGGCCAAAGTCTCCCTTGGCGTTCTTGGGGTTGTTTCTCAGGTATGGCTTCGAATTCGGTTCCTTTGCGAGATTTTTTTTTTTCAATATTTGATTACTTCACATTTCTAATATAAAAACTAGTTCTTTTTACTTGAAAAATAATAACTATTATAATTAATTAACTTATTTAATTTCGTTAATGTATTCAAAACCAGCAGGAATTAGCAAAATGACTGGATAATCATCAACTGCTTCATGCAATTTTAACTGATCCTGCGCCATGTTGCACGGGAATGGCTTTTTTCTTTTGGGAGGCAAAATTTCTTCCATTTAAAAAGTTAACGATTAAAAATTTATTACTCAGTAGGATTTGATATATTTTTATACATAGAAAATATTGATTTTTTATACAACGGAAGGAACATAGAAAATAATCAAATATTGATATTATACTGGAATTCGTACACAGAAAGTATCGTACTCAAATTCAAGTCCTTCCAGGTGAATAAAATTTATAAGAGTTTCCACTGATTTTTGTCTAAAAAATTAAATTAAAAAAATCAACCAGATACGTCTTTGAATGAACTTGTAAAGACGAAAATTCAGCTGGAGCGCCGGGACCCACTAATTTGGCAGATAGGGAAACAATACATAAAACACAACTTGTGCCCTGTTCTTATCTTAAAGTAGTGACATTTGGCCCTGCTTGGTTTATTCGTTTTCCACGCACGTGAACGCAGATCATCTTATGATAAAATATTTGTAAATACTGGTGAATCTCTGCAGGTGACCCTCCAGCTAGAACCCATGTTCAAACGAGCTCTTACGTATGTGGAAAAGGACGATTCAGACTTGGCAGAAGAATTGGTTAATTTTGGCAAAGAACACGAGTTCGGTGACGTGGGCTGGTTCCCATCACAGAAGAAGGCACTGTACAGAGTTGACGATCGAGTTTCGAACAAACACTCTGGAAATGGTCTCTATGATTTCATCCCATTTCGTCCCACTCTCACTGCTACCTTAGCTGCTACCAGAGGCACTGGTTAGTTTAGCTTAATTACTGGCATTGTATAAATTGATATAAACTGCATAAATTCACTAG